AAGGCCCTAAAACTTCTATTTCTACCAAGAGAGTAAATTAGGAGCAATTCTTTATCTTTGAGGAGATTGCAAAATTAATGCTGCCATCAAAGACTTGAAAGAACTGCAGGTGGTGAAATCATAGGTGTCCATCACGTCTCCGGCTGAACTCACCAGCATGGCCCGTATTTTTCAACAGAAAAGTAGTTGTTCCCAGAATGAATCTTAGAGAATGAATGAGGGGTAGAGGAAGTTAAAGAAGGGAATGGAATTAATATGAGAAAATGGAAAAGTGGAAACAAAATCACTGTCAATAGGGAAGGATGGAGGGGTTGAGGGGGGGGGAGGGGAGGGGGGAAAAATAACAACCAAGAGAGATTATGTAAAGGTGCAAATTTCCAATGATGAATGTCATTATATTGTATACCTAAAATGTACCAATAAAATAAAATTTTTAAAAAGAATGAATGAAGCCTACTGTAAATCTAATGAGCTGCTAACTGAAATTCCAGGCAATGCCCCAGATATAGTGTCTTTCCTTGAGCAAATCAGCATCACTCTTTGCATTTGCTTTGCAGTTACTGACCTACCCTTTCCTCTGTTCCTGAAATGGTTTGCTTTCACTTGTTGGGGATAATGATATACTTTTGTACCCTTGCCTCAGACTCCTGCTCTCTACCACATTTATTCTGTAGAGATCTTGATCGTCCCAGCAGTCACACAACATCACACTGGGTCACTTCACTGATGACATTATGATACATCGGTCTCATGTTTATGAAGGATCAGGTATCTTAGAGGCCTTAGTGAGATGATACGTGAACTAGAAGGTGGGAGGTGAGCGCCCCTAAATGCAAGGACCTGCCATTTCAGTGAATCTTCTGGCTTGTGGCTGCTCCTTAGACCACTACAATGGAAAATGGGGGGAAATGCTTGGTCAGCTTTTTTATATTGGGGGAAGTCGCATATGCCACATTTGGTTGTGCTACTTGGACCCATGTATGGAGTCACCTGTGAGGCTAATTTCAAGTAGGGATGAGCATTAGAAGTATCTGAAGCAGATTCAGGTGTAGCTCATGTCATGTGCACTCAAGTCTTATTATCCACCAAGTCCAGTGATACTTAGAAAGCATACGGAAAAGTAGACACTGTGTGGAGTGTTTTACAGGCACTGAGAAGATAACCACAGCACCAGCCTGTAAGATTTTGACACAAATCTGTTTCATTCTGGGCATCACTACTTTTCTCTTGAAAAATAACTTTTTCCCTGCCACGAGGCCTTGGTAGAGGCTAATAGCTAAACATGATATGTTGGATGACCACATGAGCTGAGCTTCTCCTCATGAGCTGGGTATCATCTGATTCACCCAGCCATAAGGTTGTATGGGCAACAGCACTCTATCAGAGGAAGGTAATGGTATATAATAGCCTGCACTTGGGCAGGCACAGAAGGTGCAAGGAAGTTGCCTGGGAAAGTGACTTTGTGCTTTGCCCCTTCTCCCTCCTGCAGTCAGTGGTTTCTTGGGGATGTTCCTTATGACCATGTGTTAATCCCTTTTCTGTGGCTGTGACGTAACACCAGAGGCTGAGAACTTTCTAAAGAAAACAGGTGTAGTTACCTCACGTTTCAGAGACTCAGTTTTCCAGATCAGACAGCTCAGTTGGTTTAGCCTCTGGTGGGGGCCTAATGGCAGTTGGCATCATGGCACCATACATGCGAGAGTGGAAGATCACAGCAAAACAAGACAAACCAGACACTAAGCAATGACCAGTCTTCCTGCTTCATAACAATTCACTCTCACAAGACGGAGCCCATCCACAGACCAGCATTAGTTCCTTCCTGGGGTGATGCTTCCAATGACCTAACTACCTCCCATTAGGCTCTGCATCTTAAAGGTTCTACCATCCCCTAATACTGCTACATTGGAGACCAAGCACCCAGCACATGTACCTTTGGGAGACAAAGCACATCCAAACCATCGCAGACCAGCTGGCCAAAGGAGACCACTGTATTATTTGCAGTGAAGGTTACTGTTATGGGAAATTTGTCCCAGTGGGTAGTACCTTGAGCAGTATATTTAGTTATATGATATGTCTAGACTAAGAGATGGTTGGTAGTTCAAATGATACTAATTCATGAGCAGATGCTAGTGGTTTATTTGAAAGAGACAGCATCAAGAAAATTGGTGACCAGGACATCTGGAGAAAAGGAATATGAATGGACCTCTTAGAATGACCATGGATTGGGAGAACATTTGTGTCACATGTGTTAACTAAAGTGCATTCACAGAATAGGAAGTCCTTAATACCATATTAGGTGGGCAAACTATGTACTGTGTGGATGTCCATCAGCCACCCAGAGCTTGTTTATAAGCCCATGAACAGAGTGGCCATGGTGGGAGGGAGGCAGACTATTCATTGGCTCGACCATACCCACTTCCCCTTCCCAAGGCTGGTCTGGCTAATACTACTGCTGAGGGCTAATGTATCAACAATAGGGAGCAACCCTGACCCCCAATATTATCCATTCATCCCGGAAACTGGCCAGCCATCTGTTATCAGCATCCATCTTGGAAGGGGCAGACATTTATCCTCACTGGAATAGATACTTTCTGGATATGGATTTGCCTCCCCTGCCTTTAATATTTCTGCTAGTAGCACCATCTATAGACTTCCAGAAAAGCTCATCCACCATTACAGAATTTCTCACAGCACATCAGCCCTGCCCATAGTGTGGCATGAAGTAAAGCAAAGGGCTCATGGCCACAGAATTAACTGTTCTCCTCAAGGCTCCACTATCTGGGAGCAAGTGGGCAAGTTTTCAAAGGTGCAGAGGAAGATTCAGTTACAGTGTCAGTTGGCAGTCAGCGTCCTGAAATGATGGGTGATGTCTTGAAGGACACCGTCCATTCTTTGGAACAGAGAAGAGTGTCATCTATTTCTTAGGCAAAACAGAGGCATCCAGGAATCAAGGGATGGAAATAGCGTGGGTCACTATTAAATCCATATTTGATTTGTGGGACTTGTGTTGCCCATTCTGGCTACATTGTGCTTCTTTAGAGGTCTCTGTCCCCAAGGAGGCACCGTGAGATGTGCCAACAGCTCTGCCAGGGAAAGAGCCCCAATGGATATGGCCTTCTGCCTGCAGAGGAGAAGGAGGACACGAGTTGTGTGTCAAAGGAGTCCATAAGGAGGACAATCTTGGAGAGGGCTTCTAGAAAATACGTTCTAATTACTCCTGAAGAGATTTTTTTCTACTGAAGAGTTTTGATTCTGTCACAGTTATATAAGAAGAGAGAAAACAGATGTGCATACTACTTTTTATTTATTTGCATGTCCAAATGGAAAGAAGTCAAAGCTTTTGGGTTGGTAGACATCGATAAAGCTTTTCCAGTCCTCTGAGGCACTTGGAGATGCAATGAAAAAGAAAATCTTTCTTACTATCTTGTCTGTATAAGCTGTAGAACTGAAATAGAGCAGGGCATCTGGATAATACAAAATTAATATTAGGTCAATTCCGCATTCCTTGACCTGTCACTGGGAATTATGCTAAGGTTCTTGCTAATTTCAAACTCTATGAACCTCCTAACCATGGGGCCTTTAAACCTTTTCCTATTTTTGCCCCTATTGCAGTGTTGTAGTTAAGCATATAGACTCTAGAGTCTGATTACTAAGGTTTGGTTCCTGGGTAAAAATCCAACTTTTGGCTCTGCAATCTTGGTAAGCCTATTCCTCTGTCTAGGTCTAAGTTTCTTGAGCTGTAAAATGACAATAATAGTAGTGTCTACTTTGGAATATTGTCCAGAGAGTCAGTTACAATAGCACACAAAGTCCTTGTGACAGGACTTGGCCCATAGGAAGCAATGAGCAAATGTTAGCAATTGTCAGTATGTTAAAATTTGGCAATGCCCCCTCCAAGTCTGCCTCCCAGAATGTAAACCACTTCACATCACTCCTGTCTCTTTCTCTAGCAAACCTGCAGAACACCTGTCAGACACCTGGGGTAGACTGAATTGTGTCCTGACTCCCCCACTCATATGCTAAAGCTCCCCGCAAAACGACTATATTTGGCCCTGCTGTCCCCTGGATTCACTTGGATGAGAGTCTGATTTTATTTTTTCTACAGAATTTATTAAGGTTCCAGGCTGAACACCAGGTATGCAGGGCCTCACTGTCTTTGAGAAGCTGTCCCTCTTTCTTCTGCTTTGGGACCCATCACAGGATTTGTAAGAATAGGAAACTGGCTGATGGAAAGCTGAGCATAGAGACTTAGTGAGACCCTGTCATGGAACTAAAACTATACATCAAATGTAAAAAGGGGTGAGGATGTGCCTCAGTGTGAAGACCTTGGGTTCAGTCCCCAGTAACACAAGAATCTGGTTGACGGAGTCTGACAGGACTAGTGTGGCCCTCAGCTGTCCTTTGTAGCCCTTGAGTCCCCTCAGGCTACCTGGAACCCTGATCCTTTCATCATGTGATGGGGCCCAAAGTGCTCCCTTTGGTGCCTCCAAGTCCCTCCTCTGTGGGCTGCGTTGGAACCTCAGAGTTGCTTTTCACAAACTGTGGCCTCAACAAGTATTTCCAAATGGAATCACCCTAACTGAAGGCCCCCACCCGGGGTTGTGAGACAGCATCTCATTGTGTAGCCCGGGCTGGCCTCAAACTCGTGGCGGTCCTCCTGCCTCAGTCTCTCTACTCCAGGCACGCACCCGCACGCCCTGCTGGAGCTCAGCATTGGAATCTTCACTCTCATTTTTGTATCCTCTTCTTCCACATTTTCCCGGGAACACTTCTCTCCAGATCACAGAAGAAATCAGCTGGCTCCAACGCTCAGACTTGCAGAATTGCCAAATTACCAAAGTGCTTGCAGAGCAGTCTATTACTTTAAAGGAGTATGCTTATAAATCTTTTTTTTTTTTTTTTTTTTTTTTTTACCGGGGATCGAACTCGGGTCCTTGCGCTTGCGCAGCAGGCAGCGAAACCACTGAGCTAAATCCCCGGCCCCTGTTTGCTTATAAATCTTCTAGGTTGGTTATATATTAAATATGTATATGTGCGATGATGGGTGTATCGTATACCTGATACATGATACACACGACATACGGTAATATATAGCATCTATTACGGTAGCACAGAACCGTTGAGTTTGGGTCATCTCAACACATTCACTGGCTTGGGACAGGCGGTTTGGAATTTACTTCTGAATTTCTCGGGGGCTGGGTGTGCAGAATCTCTTATCAAGGCTTCGCGAGGATCATTAAAAAGACAATCCGAGTCAGAGGAGAATGAGAATCTGAAAAGGTTTATTCGCCCACGCTGAATCTCTGGGAAGATACAGTCAGGTTTGCTCTCCAGGAGCTCCGCATAAAACAAAAGACTTGCGGAGTCTTGTGAGGGGCGAGCAGTTATTCACGGGTGTGCATGCCCGGAACGAGGCTCCACACCTGGCGGGAGCCCTGCGCAGCCCCGGAGCCCGGACAGCGACTCCAGCCCGGCCGGTCGCTGGGGGCAGGGGAGGAGGCGCAGGTCCCCGCCCGCCCCGTCGGTCCCGCCCCGGAGACCTCTTAAAGCGCGGCTGGTCGGGCCGGGCGGAGCGGAGACGCGCGCGGGAGCCCGGAGCCCCAGATCCGCGGCCCACACTGCACCCCGGCCCGGCATGCGCCCCCGCTAGCCCGGCATGCTGCGCCCGCTGCTGCTCGCCGCGCTCTGCCTGGCCGGCCGCCCCGCGCGCGCCTGCCTGCTGCCCTCCGACTGGAGGCCCCTGAGCGAGGGCTGCCGCGCGGAGCTGGCCGAGACCATCGTGTACGCGCGCGTGCTGGCGCTGCACCCCGAGGCGCCCGGCCTCTACAACCACCTGCCCTGGCAGCACCAGGCCGGCCAGCGCGCGCTGCTCTACTCGGCCGAGGTGGAGATGCTGTGCGACCAGGCGTGGGGCGGCATGCTGGAGGTGCCCGCCGGCTCTCGGCTCAACCTCTCCGGCCTGGGTTACTTCTCCTGCCACTCGCACAGTGTGGTGCAGGGCTACTCCTACTTCTTCTTCCTCAGGTGAGCCGGGCGCCGCCGCTGGCCGCCCGGGCGCTCCCGGGCCGCGTCCCCCGCAGCTGGCCTCCCCTGCTCAGTCCCACGTCTCTCCAGGGGCCCGATCATCTCCCTAAAAACCGGAGGTGATGTCAGTATGCTGTGCAGGCGCTGCAGGCAGAGGCCCCAGTGCTTCCGACAACTATTTGACTTTATTTTTACCTGCCTCCGGCGGGAGCAGATCGGAGCACAAGCAACCTTTGAAGTCAGGCTTTGGCGTTCTGGCTCTCCTTTCCTGTGATTTCTGTCCAGGACTTCCTCGCCTGCATGGGGTGAGAAGGAGAGCCTCTTGATACGGAAGCACAGGAACAGGCAAAGCACCTGCGTAGAGTAGTTGCCTAACAAAGATTTGCTCTCCTGGTACCCACTGCAGTGCCCAAACAGCCTGCTGTCCTTTCCTCTTACTGCACCGCCTCCTGATAGCTGCCAGGTTATTCAGAACAGCAGATTCCTGGACCTGCTGGGGTAAGACTCCAGGTCACAATATTTTGAGTACAGAGGTGAATCAGACAGGTGGTCCTCGCTGATTCAGGGCCAGGACAATCTTCGAGGTTCTGTGAAATTGGCCTTTGGTCAAGATAGAAACCATCTGCCCCAGAATGCAGGCAATTCTCATTGATTACCGGAGTCTATTGAAATCTGAAATTGGAAACAGCAGGTGGAACCCTAAATTCCTTGGTTGATTTCAGTTGCATTAAGGTGATACAGAACATCAGCAAGAAACCTGTATTTCTAAACAGTGAGGGAATTAATCCACAGGTGGTGTGATCAATAATAGTTTCGGGTTTCCTAGTCCCTAAAGTGGCCCTCTGGGTATTGGAATGATCTGGACCTAGGTCTGAGATTTTATCCCCATCACAATGAGAAAACAGCTCCACAAAGCGGTGTTAGGAAGCTCAGGGCCACACGTGTTTTCCATATTGAAGCCAGAATATCTAAGTTTAGAATAATATGTCCTGCTTTGTGTTGGCTTGAGGGGTTTAGCTAGATTAGGTTTTTTTTTTTTAATTGCCGGGTTAGTGTAGTTTCTAAATAAAGTCAGCCAAGATGGAGAGATTGCCCTTCCACATACGGAGAAACGTAACTCAGATTTTTCATGTTTCTATTTAGGGAAAACACTAAGAACCCAGCTGTAAAACTATTCCAGGACGCACTTTATTTTCCAAAGGAGGAGCCCAAGACTTTATTGCTTTTCTTTATCATGAAACACAGTTTTGTCCAATGGCTAGAGAGGTCAGCCAAGTCTTTTTATCTTTTGCTCTAACATATTTACAAAGAGCTAGGTCAGACAGAGCAAGACAAACAGCAGTGTCACAGATTTTCATTTCGTAGGAATGTCTTGGCCTGAAGTGTGTGAATAACTGTGTACAAATCATTTCTTCTCTGCTGCTCTGGGACCCACTTGCTGAGAACTGACCCCAGTCATGTGTGTGTGTGTGTGTGTGTAGGGGATGGCAGTAGAGACTCACCAGGGAGCCCATTGTGCCCCCTTTTCCCAGAATTATAACCCTCACTTCTTCTTTTTTATGACTTCTCTAACAAGAGATTTGCATCAGGCTTGGTTTTAAAAAGTTTACTAATATTTACCCTACACTGACTCTGTTCCAAGTGCTTTCTTGCTTGTTTGGTTTTTTGGTACCAGGGATTGAACTTGGGACCTTTCGTTTGCAAAGCAGGTGGCAGAACCACTGAGTTAAACCCCTGGCCCAAGTGCTTTATTTATTACATGGTCAGATGCAATCCTGATGACACCATGAAGAAAGCAGGTACAGCAGAAGACTGAGACGTAGGAGTTAGGCATCTGTTTCATGTCATATACAAGATAATGCAATGGCAGGCTCCAAACCCAGGTGGTCACAATTGCCAATTCTCTTACCTGGAAACAGGGTAGTGTGTCTGAGATAAAAAAGCTGGGTGGGGACTTGAAAGATGCACAAATAGACAGGTAGACATGCAAACACACACTTTCCCCTTCTGTCCCAAAGCTATTGTTTTGAAAACCTTAAGGAGAGACTCAAGGAGTGTGAGGCAGAGAAACAGCAGTAGTAACTGTAGGGACTCCTTCCTGAGGACTGCGCCGGTCATCACGACGAACTTGCCAAGACTGCCCGACCCTCTGCGACTCCTGCCCAAAGCTGCTCTACCCCAGCAGTCCCAGATCCATCTCTCCTGTATTTTCTCCTCCCTACTAGGATGGATGAAAACTATAACCTCTTGCCTCATGGAGTTAACTTCCAAGATGCCATCTTTCCGGATACACAAGAGAACAGAAGGATGTTTTCCAGTCTCTTCCAGTTTGCCAACTGTTCCCAAGGACAGCAGCTTGTGACTTTCTCCAGTGACTGGGAGATCCAGGAAGACAACAGGGTAAGTGTCGATTAGATGCTGTGCCACAGCAGAATGATGGAATTGCTACATCTTGTGTAAACCTTGTGACCAAAAGAGTCCAAATACTCCTGCAAATACTCAGACCTCAGTGTTTGTCCTCCTCTCTCCCTCCCAGCTGTTAGAAAACACTACTCGTACATTTTGGACTCCTGAGGCTTTCTTAGTTGACGAGGGGTTCTCCACAAAGTGTGGAAACAAAAGGAGATGACAGTTGGCTCACTGTGTCTCGGTTTCCCCTTCTGCAAATAGTGCCTACTGTATCACAGGGCTGACACCATATGATTTAAGTATGTAGTTATACAAATCCCTTGGCATAGTGCTTGGAAAGGTAGGTGTTCAACATGTGTAAACCATTGTGACTATTCTTGTTTTCAAAGAAATTGTTCTGTGGGAGGAACAAGTCCTCAAGGAAATGAAGTAACTGTCATAGCTGACACTTCTGTGATTTTACGATACTTAAGACTGATAGGATGGCCAGGGTGATTGGGGAATAGAAGGATCGGGACTACTTGGGGTATGAAAATATAAAAAGATCTTCCAATCCGGGTCAAATGCCAGTTGGGGGAAATTTTTGAGGATTGTCACTTTTCCAAAACATGGCATTGTTACAAACGGTAAGATGGTGTTGGGCAGGTCCGTCTGGGTCTGGGGGCGGGGGGGGGGGGCCTCATTCCCAGGCCCCTGTGAAGCTGTCTTTAGGCCAATGTGACAGAGTCCTGGAGAGAGTTCTGATGTGGGAGTCAGCTTTTTATAGGCTGAGGAATGGACTCGCGGACACCGGGCGGTTCGTCGAGTGAGAAGGGTTTGAGGGAAATGACTTCTCCTGTCTGGTTTATGGCCTATGGTAGCTGCTTTGTTTTCCCAGAGTTCTTATCTTTCACCCAGGGCTCCCTGCCTCCCAAAGCCTCCTCAGACTCTTGCACAGCAGCTGCTTATGTGGTAGACAGGTCTGTCCAGCCAATTGAGATTATTTATTCTTTTTTGATATTAAGAGGTGTCTTTCTTAGCTCTCTCCTATTGTTAGCAGTGTTGATTCTTTTTTTTTTTTTTTTCAAGCAGAAGACGGCATACGAGATCCTGGTAGGTGACTGGAGTTCAGACGTGTGCTCTTCCGATCAAAGATTAATTGTTTTTTTGGTGTTTTTTTTTTGGTGTCGGGGATCAAACTCTGGTCCTTGCACTTGCGCAACAGACAGCGAAACCCCTGAGCTAAATCCCCAGCCCCTCCCATCTGAGTTTTTAAAGACATATCTCATAGTATTTGAAAAATAAAATTTAGGTAGAATTAAT